TCGATATCATGCCAAATGAATTGAATTCGATGAATTCTCAAATTTTACGCTTATCTGCAGAAATGCCTTAATTAGTAAAATGACACTTTCGAGAATACTCAAACCAAAACCCACTTTCTAACGTGTTATCATCTATGTTTCTTATACCCCCAATCTCTTTAAGCGTCTTTGTGTTCAGACATTATTTGTTTATAATATAATTCATTCATGTGCGTACTATGGGCCAACATTTGTATTGATGGTCCTTAAGGGAAAGAGGATTATCATAAAAATTGATGAATCGGTGTATTCGACTTAACCATAATCTTTTACGATATACCCTCTCCTTCACAGGCTTCGAAGTCGAGTTGTGGCTATTTATCCCGCCCTCTTCCGAACGGCCCTCTGAACCAAACCTCAGCCGACCCATGACCAAACGACTTCTTGTGCACACCTCCAACCTCGACTCCGACTGGGGCCTCTTTTTCGAGTACCGACCTCCTGGCCTCGAGCCTGACACCCGACAGTTTCAAGGCGTCTCCGCTTGGCCTGGCCAGCTCGAGGCCACTCTGCGGCTGTGGTCTACAGCAAAGACATCTGTATTTGTCTCGACCCCCATTAAGTCTGTGCGATGGCAACATGTTGGGCTGCGATGGGTACAAAGTGTCGGCAAACTTCAGCTCTGGTTGAACGGAAGACTGGCTGATGAGTCAAGTCTTTTGGACGTGATCAGCGGACCAACTACTAAACCAATGTCAACAAACGGGAAGTTACAGCCTAGTTACAAGTCTACGACATCCAAGCATTTAAGTCCTACACTACGAGCAAGTGCTAACGTTGTTCCCCCTCTTCGACACACACGATTTGTCTACCTCGGCTCGAGTCCTGAAGGAGGCCCGTTTGTTTTTGCTGTTGCCGGATATCGGTTCCTGGGTCGAAGAGGAATAGGCAATTATTCCTCATCTGAAGTCCTGCTGGATCCAGTGGGTTCGCCGGCAATTAGGCTGATTCTTGATACTAGGGAAGACGTCTTCTTCTTCGAGGCAGGACGCAACAAAGCAATCTCATGCAAGTTAGTGTTGCCCGGAGCAACCGAGTCAACCAGGCCTATTCCAGCCCCCGAGGTTTTATACTTTTCATTTGGTCTTCGAATCACGGATTACAGACTGGATAGTAACCCAATGATGCTGCAAGTGCCAATTATTCTTCTGTTGAATTACTCTATTGGACTTGCTCGCAACAGCACAGGTGGGCTAAACCTTAATGTAGTGGATGTGAAAGAACACAGTTCAAGGACTATATGGCCAAATTTTCACGATGGCCTCAATTTTATTGAAATGGACTTCTTTCACTGTGCAACAGACAATGGAAAATGGTGCTTCGAAGTGTTTGTGAATCGAGTCCAGCTGACCTCTTGGCGACAAGTCCCTCCAGAAGAGAAGGTAGCGGTAGAAAAAGGTTTCCCCTTGACGAAAAGCTGGGACTCAGTGATATTAGGTGGTATGGGTATGGGCGGTAGTTTCCTGTATCGACACTTCAGCATACAAAGAGTCCTTGCATTTACTGCAAGGAGGAAAGACTTGCTTGAGTATTCTCTGATTAATGCAAGTAAGAATTATTGTTTAACTTGTATTACTTGATAGGGTTTTCATTCTGTCTTAACTATGTAAGTGTTTCCCAAACGTTTGGTTATTCCAATTATCAAATTCATATTACAGAAAGCACTTTTACCTTTAGCATGCTAAGCCATATTTGCCTAACAATTCGACCTTTTGATGGTATACTTTTCCTTTACTTCAATGCTCTTCGCCAGCATGAGTCACTTAAAAAGCCGATTCTTTCTTAATTTCGAATTATTATTATTATTATTATTATAACTCAAATCAGAATTCACAAATACTTACCTATATGCTAATTAAATTTCTAGTAATTTAATATATATATATATATATATACATAAAATCTAGATGTGAATATAATAGACGAATCACTAAAAATCTGGCCGAATTATTATTGTAAATAAAATTGATATAAAGTTACTCATCACATAGTTACTAACTTTACATTTCGATTTGATTTATGTTAAAGCATTTAATATTTGGGCTAACTAACCGTTTGGCATTATGCTAGGTAAACACAATCCTTAAGCAGATCACATGTTACATCGGCATACATTTACGTTTGCATGAAGGCATAAGATTCCAAGTTCACACATGCATATACTTGCTGGCACTAAGCATACTAGATGCATAAAACCACATACATTTTTTCGAAATTTTTCAAAAATCTTTTTTTTAATATAGTATGTATACGGTGAGATTAAAAGATCCCACTCCCGACGTGATTTTGTGGGAGATTTAATGAAATCTATCAAACATTTTACCTGGCTACTTTAACTATTCATGTGCCAGAACTATAATAAGGATAGATGATCTCGTATATGTGGGCCAAGATTTCTAGGCTCAAGTTCTGTGGAGTCAAGATATTTAGAGACTATCCTCTTTTAGCCTACATAGCAGCAGAAATATATATCATTTCTCTGGAGGGAATTTTTAATTGTAAATCTTACTGCTGAGATAGTAAGTGACTCTTATTTCTATAGGATTACTGCCTGATAAACACAATGATTTCTTCTCATAAGATAATTCAGGATTGTAGTACATAATGTTGGTTGTCAAAATTTACCACCACAAACAGGGCTTTTGCTGTGTCCTCCGAGGTGTTAAACTTGTCTCTCAATAAATGAAGATGGTTGCTAAGTCGAGCAATACAATTAGCAAGGGTTTGCATATTCATCACGCAAACTTAATATAAGATAAAACTTTCAGATTCATCAGGTGGAAATGTCTGAACCAAATTTTAAGTTCTTTTTTATGCTGGATCCGTGTGGGTCATGTGATTACTAAAATGTATATTGAATGAATGAGTTTTGAAGCCTTTAGTGGATAATGAAGAAGAAGAAGCACAAACTAACTTTGCCTGTTTAAGATGATATAACGAGTGATATTTGAGGTTTTCCAAATGCAATTAGTAGAAGGCCTCAGGATACCGTTTAATTAATTTAACCTGGTTTCCTAATCATCTTGCTCATCCAGGGGGGACTGCAGGTTTGGTATCGTCTGAGTGTCCTATTATCACCCCGGCGGGAGTTTAAATTAAAGCCCTAGAGACAGATGGCAATTTTACCAATCCAACATACAACGAAGACTATCAGTGGGTTACGGGGCAGATGCGAATTTTAGGATAAGTTAGATTACGTAGGAAAATTGTGTTTTGAGGAATCTCTTATTTCATAATTGTCGAGCTTATTTGCATTTCGAGCGAAAGTGTTTGGAGAAGAGATTATAAGGTTGATTCCACCAGGAGACGACGGTGGATTGGCTTTACTGGAACATTCATGGTGACGCTGTTTCCGAGGTAATTTCCTTCGATTCCGGTGAAAAGGTGCCAAGCTTTTTTTGTCATATGACAAACATCCTCAGAGCAGGACATCATCTTTACAACCTTAGCATCTCTTTGAAGAAGTTAATTAATTTTCCACTTCTCAATTTCTCCTCTGCTTACACAAACGTTAAGCGATTCCCTAAGTCTGGCCTTAAGACTCTCTGTGCAATCCTTCACCAAAAGAACCATCATTCTTACTAAATAACTTAAACTATCCATGATGACCACTGCACCACCTTTATCTGTCCTCAAAACACATCATTTTGGTGCAAATATCAGCACTAAGTTTAACTACATCTTTATAGTTTCGACCATTAATTGAGTTGATTGTAATTCCTGAATTCCTTAATTTTGTATCATGTCGGTATCTGTGAATCTTATCCATCCTCTCCACAAGACTGTCCGCAATATTCTCTAATTTGAGAAAATCTTATCGAAAAAATAGCAGAGAGCGGGATTGTCTAGACCTTCTTTTGGTTGTAATCAGGCCATGCACTTCGTCTATACTTTCTTTTTGTCTAGTCCTGACAAAAGCATCTGATACCTGTCCCAATTTCCTATTAGTGCTGATCAACAGCTAGCCAAGAGAAATCAACAATCGTCTTCTGGTGGAATTGACCTTCGAATCTCTTCATCAAACACTTTCACTCGAAATGGAACTAAACTCAGCAATTGAGTTAGTCTTCTCTCAAATCAATTTTAATAGTGGCATGATTAAGCAAACTCCAGCTTGTCGTTCTAAGCGACGAAATTGCTATCCATTGAATAAAAAGACCTCCAACTCTTAATAGATCTCGACTAACAATCAAAAGTCAAATGTAATATAGCATAGTAAAGAGAGGGTGCCGGAAGACATGTCGTAACAACAATACCATAAAGCGTCAAGTCTGCGTCGCTGTATAAACATTCATAAGGACCATGGAACATTCTAAAAATTTACTCAAATAGTATATTTGCCTTTTGTTTTTACTATTTCCAGTTCAATATGACATTATGGCAGATGAAATTACATATACTTACTATGCAGGGAGGAGAAGAATTGATTTCGCAATGCAATTTG